GTTCGAGTTGCCAAACGTCAGCCTCGAAACCTTAATGACTTGGAGAAAATCTGCAAAGAGGAGTGGGACAAAATCCCTCCTGAGATGTGTGCAAACCTGGTGGCCAACTACAAGAAACGTCTGACCTCTGTGATTGCCAACAAGGGTTTTGCCACCAAGTATTAAGTCATGTTTTGCAGAGGGGTCAAATACTTATTTCCCTTATACATTTTTGGGGGGGTTATTCTGTCTCTCACTGTTCAAATAAACCTACCATAAAAATTATAGACTGATAATTTATTTGTCAGTGGGCAAACGTACAAAATCAGCAGGGGATCAAATACTTTTTTCCCTCACTGTATATGCCAATCAATGATTTATATGTACACTAGATGACCGACAGAGGGCGCTGTTTTGAAGCCACCACGCCTCCATCTTCGCACTACCCCACTGTTGTAAAAATTATTTTGGAAGCTATAGAAATGCATTTATTAATGTCTACATTTGTTTTTATCACGTTTATTCTATTACAGACACCTTAATGCCTACTTTGAAATTATATTATGTGAGCTAAACAAACAAAAAAAAAATATATATATATATAAACATTTTCCTTATTTTTTGAATGTTCTAGTTTAAGATATTTCTTTATTGTCTGATTTTCACAGATAACGTTACGTACAAGAAAATGCACTGCGATGTGGCATAGACATGGAATAGGCCAGACATAACATCAAACATTCATGAAAAAACAAAACAAGAATGCCGGCTTAAGGGCTCTTACCCCTCCCTTCTACATTACATAGCTGTCCCTCCTATACTTAACGTTACACATCCCCTTAATGTCCAAGGTCCCTGAGCGTTGCACATAATGTTATTGTACTACCCTATAATTTCAATGTCCATGATTCCATTATTATTTTACACAGTTAGCTATATTTCACTTATCACTTTTCACAATTGCTCTTTGGGCTCCCGAGTGGCACAGCGGTCTAAGGCACTGCATCTCGGTGCTTGAGGTTTCACTACAGACTCCCTGGTTCGATTCCAGGCTGTATCACAACCAGCCGTGATTGGGAGTCCCATAGGGCGGCGCACAATTGTCCCAGCGTCGTCTGGGTTTGGCCGGTGTAGGCCGTCATTGTAAATAAGAATTTGTTCTTAACTGACTTGCCTAGTTAAATAAAGGTTAAATAAAGGTTAAATATATATTTTTTTAAATGAGTGAATCGTTCCTAATGTCCTCCTTATTTGTTCATAAGGGTCAGTGCGTGTGGCACAAATTAGTTTTTGTACCTGACCAGTTTGCACAGGGGAGTCTGTAACGTTTCCTGGTGGCAGGAGCACAAGCTGTGAGTTGAGCACATGGGAGGGGTCGTCTGCTATTTTATTTGCCTTCCTCAGCATGTTTGTGTGGTAGCTGTCCAGAAAAGTTTTGTTGGGGGGCTTTCGATATTTTATCAGCAGACTTGTCACCAAGGCTTTTGCCTGTACCGTGACACTGTTGTACTAAGCAGTGATGCAGTACTGCAAACCACTCTGGATAGTGGAGCAGAAGAACAAGTTCAGTATTTACGAGCTTGCCCCGAAAGACCTCAGCCTGTGGAGAAAATACATGCGCTGTTGCACCTTAGCACACACGTAGTCCACATGGACAGTAGCGGTGCGTGGGTAAAATCACTGAGGAAGCCAAGCCAAGCCAGTAAAAAAAAGCCATATTACAATCTATGTTGTGATATTTCCGTTGTTTGCTCTATAACCCATTCGTTCATATGCCACGTGATATAAAATAAGGCTGTGACAACAAAAGGACAGCAGTCACACAGTGGCAGAATAAATTCAACCACACATTTGTTTCATCACAAAACCGGAGAGCAACATCTGTCCGGTGAAGTCCACAAAGCAAATATTGCATGTAACAAACAGTTATATGACCTGCAGCATGGTCAAGCAAGTTAATGTTTTCGACAGTTTACTAAATAAACAACTACTGATTTAGAACCACAGAGACTTACAGCAAGTCAGCACAAAGACAACAGGAGCACTGCCTCTGCTATTCCAGCACCATTTCAACTTAAACATTTAAACATAATCAAATCCACAAGGCTATATATGCATCATTTAATACACTGAAAACAAACTTTAAGATACCAAAAACAATTTAGTCCAATCAATGTTGCTAAATATCATGTGGCTGTCGATGTGGCTATGTCTAGGCTACATATTGAACTTCAATTGTCTCAGGCTACTGGCACAACATATAAACGAATGGTTAGATCAGAATCGCCGTCATAATCATTGGCCTGTACAGAGAATTAAGTCAAAACCACAAGTCCAAATCCCCATCTCCATCCATGGCGTAGGAAAGGGCCGATTTAGCAAGCTAGGTACTGCAGGACATCAACACAAGCAGACCAGAAACACAACTTTTTCTGAAAATGACGTTTTGCAAAGGAAGTGATTTGATTGGTCTGAAGCCAAATCCAAACTGGCCTCCCTTGGGGGTGTTTTTCTGCACCAGGACAACCCACAGTTGAGCTCAGCTCAACACTGATTGGCTAATTCATTTATATATTTTTTAATCAAGAGAGGCCAAATGCTTGCTGGCATCAATCAATGAAATGCTATGGCGGCAACATGTTATACATTTTTGGTCCAGACAACATCAGATACATGGGCTACACATACTGAGACAGAGGGGCGCTGTTTCCCTCGCTCGGATGATTTCTCTGGTGAGATTCAGCTACTTGTGAATTGATAGAAAATTATGAAAACACAGACAGAGACAAAATATAAATTATTTTATAATTGTAATTTTTTTTATTGGTGAATTATTTGGGGAAGCCTGGCTTCCCTTGGCATCCATGAATACACACCACTGCACATGGACACTCCATCTCAGGGCATGGTCAACATGTACTCCCAGGTATTTATAGGAGTCGACCTGCTGGATGTGTTCACTGTGAATGACGACCTGGCTCCAGTCAGCCACTGACTTGGGGTCAAAGATAACCTCCTGTGTTTTTGACATTCAGGACCAGAGAGTTCGTGTCACACCATTGCACAAGGCTGTTTACATTGCCTAGGTACAGTGGGAGGTCGCTGTTGTCATCCATTTGGGCCAGCAGGACGGTGTCGTCTGAGAACTTAATGATGTGATGCTTGGTGTTTTGACTTGTGCAATCGTTGGTGTACAGAATGAAGAGGACGGGTGAGCTCACACAACCTTGCAGGGCCCTGCAGTTGGTGACCACAGAAGGGGAAGAGTTTTGTTTACCTTGACCAACTGAGTTCTGTCACTGATAAATGAGTGAAACCAGTGAATGAGGTGTGGGTGATGTCCAGTGCTTTCAATTTGGCTTATAGAAGGTGTGATTGTATGGTGTTAAAGTCGGAGGAACAACAACAAAATACTTAAATACATGTAATTTTGTGCTTTAAACATTTAATTGAAAAACTGTAGAATTCCATTAATTCCTACGGAGCACTGCTCCTTCTGGGGATTGCCAATATGGCCGACCGGTGGGTTCAAAGCCTCTCACTGGCCAATACATAGCATCAGCAATCCAGGGTTTATATACCCCATTGATGCCAATGATTTGTTTAGCATAGCAGCACTGCAAATACTGTAGAATGAATAGAATGAACGACCGGGTCAAAACATCCCAATAGAACTAACAACTAGCATGTTTGGCTAGCAACTTCAGAACCTCAGAATTAACAACTGGCATTTGCCCGTACTATATTGTCTGGTGAAAGGATGAAATAAAACTAGTTAAAATAAATGTTTTAATGAAAACATGTCGTTAATCTGTTTTTAATGTGTTGGCAACAGATTTCTAAAAGCAATAAGGCCCTCAAACCCAGGAATTATTGTGAATAACACCCTCCTAAGCGCTTTGTCTTGGGCCTAAGAACAGCCCTTAGTCAGTAGTTATTCACACGATTATTCCCGGGTTCTCATGCCTTATTGCTTAAACATAAAAGGCACATTGTCAATTATGTTGATAAATGTATGTTAAATTCACACTGTTCTATATTCATTTGACTCTTTTTTTATTTCAGGGAGAAGCCGAAGAGAACTAAGTTTTGTGTTCTCCCCTCTTGCATCTTTTGGAATATTTTGAACATCTGAAGATCTTGCAATATATTGTTTGCTAGAAATCCTGTTTGTATTTTGTGGAATACTAGATTGTGTATAGTTTTGATTACTTGTTATCTTTATTTTTGGAAATGTAACCATCAATGAGAATGGGAGCACAATGTTTTGCAGCTTTTACACAAACAGATCAATGTCTATATTAACTAAGCAGGGTCAGTCCTGGTCTGTCCCTGGATGGGAGACCAGGTGCTGCTGGAAGTGGTGTTGGAGGGCCAATAGGAGGCACTATTTCCTCTGGTCTAAAATAAAATATCCCAATGCCCCAGGGCAGTGATTGGGGACATTGCCCTGTGGAGGGTGCCGTCTTTCGGATGGGACGCTAAACAGGTGTCTTGACCCTCTGTGGTCACTAAAAGATCCCATGGCACTTATCGTAAGAGTAGGGGTGTTAACCCCGGTGTCCTGGCTAACTTTCCAATCTGGCCCTCATACCATCATGTCCACCTAATCATCCCCAGCTTCCAATTGGCTCATTCATCCCCCCTCCTCTCCCCTGTAACTATACTGCAGGTCATTGCTGTAAATTAGAATGTGTTCTCAGTCAACTTACCTGGTAAAATAAGGGAAAAAAACATGTTTCTTGGTTTGTCATTATACTTTTCAAACAGTTTGATAAAACAACATCAACATTTTAACATGGTTTGTTATTACTTTGCAATCACCTAAATGACAATATAGCAGAATAAATGTTTGAACCCGTCCATGACCTAAATGTATAGTTCAATAACTTTTGAAAACTACTATTGATAACATTTTCTTGTTAACCCCACAATAAGCAGAAGGTGAAAGGGCACCCTGTAACCAAATATATTTCCAATATAAGCTTTCTTTGACAGCCAAAGGCAAATATATATTTTTTCTATAATTTTGTTATCAGTTCTTCACTCTCCATGTCAGACTCCTCTTCTTTACCCTGTAGATTACAAGACGTGGTGTTAGGTATAAAGGTTAGTCTAGTCCACTGTCAGTCTTTCACTGCTTTATGCTGCTATATGTTCCATGACCCAATAGAAGAGATGGAGTTCAAAGTGTCTTACCAGGAAGAGGAGTGTGTGGTGGATAATGAGCTCTCTAGTGAGGTGCACCAGGTCAGTGTTCATGGCCAGCTCCTGGAATAGTGTGGGGACAAACACCAGCGCCAGGTTCTGAGCTGTCATACGGTTCTCTGCACTATACAGCTGAACTCTAGAAGAAGGGGTTGACAACAATGAACATTAGTCATGCAGGTTCATTATGTTGCCCTATTCAATTTTACAATAATTGATCATGTGTTGTTCTTACATGTAGAAGTGTCCACAGAGGGCGTTGAGTGTGATTCTGTTGTCAGGGGGCAGCTTCTTCAGTAGTCTGCGGTAGGCAGCCAGTCTGAAGGTCTCTTCTGTGTGAGCTATGGTGACAAAGGCGATGAATGAGAACCCCATTATTTAAATCACAGCTTGTATTAAACAACTTGCATCTGCATCAGGGTTTGTTTGTTAATCTAGATGCTGGTAAAATATGTCCATGGTGACCCTAAACTGTGGGGATCCTAAACTTAGCTTCAGCTGGCTGGTTTGCGACCGTGGCAAAATTGGTTTGACATTGGATAGCCTATCTCTGGGGCTAGTTAGGGACTTCAATAAATTACACAATGTAAATGGGACTATTTTCATGTTGCACATCGTTTAGTTTTCTCATTAAATGCTTTCAATATTTGTGTATGAATTTCTACAATTTATAGTTGGTTTGAGGTTTTTAAGTCATTGAAGCTATTGACCTTTTAAAATATTGTCCCGTGTACATTGTGCAATTTACTGATGGTCCCTAACTAGCCCCATAGGGATATCGAACCAAATTGACCATGGGCATTACGATCTGGTCGCATGCAGCTGCGCTCCGTATTGATAATTAATTGGGTGCTGCCAACTGTGAGCATGTGGGCAGGATTTAAAGTAACCCAACCCAAGGAAAACTGTAACGGTACCCTTCATTCCGTGACATATTTTTTTCCCTTATCATCTCGCAAATCTCCGTTTTGGACGAGACTGACTTGAGGACCAAAATTATCCTATTTACACTTTGTAGTCAATTTTAACACTAGAATAAATGTTTCTGACTCGTATCGATGTCACCAAGGCCATTTATAAAATGAGAAGTTGCTTTTTAGGGGTAGTCGCTCTTTAAAGTCAGCTGCAATGTTGAATGCTCCCATTGTTACTTGTCTGATTGGGGTTGTTTGAGATGAGAATAATCTTAGTTAACCCAGAACTAAAGTCTTGCGTAATTGGTCAGATGCTTGATTAAGTTCTGGGTCCATACGTGTTAAGAGAAGAGATAGAACGATGATCGGAACCGGAACAAAGAGCTCCACCCTCTCTCTTTGCAAGTTGAAGGCAAGTCAATGGGCCAAATATCCCCTCCCCTTCCGATATTCAAAAGATGCTAACACCTGCGGGATCGTGATTTGACCAAAGCACCCGGAACTAATGCTTCTCGTTACCTCACGCGTCCCGTTGTATCGTGACAGATCTACGGTACCATTTATGTTTACATAGTCTGTCCACAAGAGTTTAAGATGAGAAGGAGAGTACCTGCAGCCTCTACCCATAGTTTCCTGTGTGTCTCTGGGATGAGCACCACCTGCTGGCGGATATACTGCTTCAGGGCCCCTGCAGCTTCCAGGAGACCCTCTTCGTCTGTCTCCAGAGGGGTAGTTTTAGGTGAACTGCTGAGGGCCTCCACCAGATAACTGATCTTAGTGGCCAAGCCACAGCGCCGGTACAGCCCATCCACCTTTAAACCTGGGAGGGAGAGAGAAGTAGAGCAGATGCAGTTGTACAATTGTGAGAATTATTTTTCCTTGTTATCCAGATCACTACAATACTTGTTCCAGTATCAAATGGAACACACCATATTTTGTGATGTGTGAGATACACCTCTCGATGGCAGGGGGCACCTTGCCAATGGCGGTGGGGGGCAGCTGGCGCGGCTTCCTCTTTGTGGTCACTGCCCATTTCAGTAGGGTGTGCCAGGACTGACAGCTGTGGTCTCGTTCAAACTGCATGGACATGGTTCTAGCCGAAAGAAGAGAGCAAGCAATAGATCCATTGGACACATTCCTTTGAATGACAGATGCTGAAATTCGTTTGGGAACCGCTGCTATGATATAAGTAAATGTGAATGTGACAAAGTGTTCCTGTTTATAACAAAGTGTTCCTGTTTATAACAAAGTGTTCCTGTAGTACTGACCTCTCTCCAGTGACCAGCTCTATGGTGTTCACAGAGGAATCTATCTCTGTGGGCAGGAAATAACACTGTCAGTGTTGGGTGAGATACATAATCATATTACCTAATCATGAAACTTCTGCTCATCTGCACAAGGCACGTAGAGAAACATCATGTTGTGTAAACATGCAGTCAGGTCAATGAGGTGAGATGTGACTTACTGTATTGAGACTCTTGGTTGAGTGTTAGCCTTTCTCTGTGGCGCTGCTGGTCAGTAGGATAGATGAGGACCTGACCTCCACGGAGCACTGCCCAGACCTCGGTGTGCTGCAGGCCTCCTCCCTCCCTCAGAGACACCTGGGACACAGCAAACCCCTTGTCCAGCTCCTCCTCATCTATGGGCCCGGGCAACACCACCTGACGGGGGGAGAACATATTATCAGTTTTAACCACATTACTCTATCTGTTCTGTCTGTTTATATGTACCCTATACAGTATAGAGTACAGTTGGCACAATGGTCGCTATCATCACAGCTGTTATTGTGCTACCTTGAGAATATGGAGAAGGTGTGTGAGCAGACCCTCTTCTGTATCAGCACTGCACAGCAACTGGTCCGTCAGAGTCACCAGCTCAAATGCATGAGTTGGTCTGTGGGGGTGGAAGAAATCAACAGTCACCCAAATATCTTATCAACACATATCAAAGCATAAGAATTTGTATTTTCTCCCACAATGCTAACATCATAAGGTTGCAATACCCGTTGGAGCGGTCAAAGATGGAGATGACCTCCCTCAGGTCCAGAACATCACAGGCAGCAGAGTCATTCTCCTGAGAGAACAGGAAGCGGTCCTCCTCCAACTTCCCATGGAGCTCCTCTCCTGTCACACACACATTTACAATTTTACACCTACTGCAAAGTCCCCTTTTAGGCTATTGGGATGCACTCATAGTATATGTGTACCTGCAGCAGAAGAGGGGACAGAGGAAGCAGGGTCTCTGCTGGGCTTCTGATGAGCATAAGGAGGGGCCTCTGTACAGGAGAAAAACAAACAGATCGTAGAAACCATGATGAACAAGACCGACATTTGATGTACTGACTTCATGAAAGTGACAAGTTGAGACTACGCAAAAACACAAAACAGCAGCAGTACTGTGGATCTTAGAGGCTGGACCCCTGATGTCAGTACCTGTGTACTCGTTGTGTCTGAGGAGCTCAGTCTGCATGGCCTGTCCAGCCTGCTCTGCCAGTGAAATGGGTGAGGGGCACTGAGGGTCCCCTGAGTGGCACAGGACCCGCGCCCCCGAGGACAGCAGGGACATGGTCTCTGGGACATTAGGGCCACACACTATCTCACACAGCCTCTGGAGGACACAGGGTGAGGGGATGATGTTGCCATAACAACCAATAACACATCTCATTCAGCAACAATTTGTCCTGTACAGACTCTGGGAGGTTTAGGTGTATGTTGCTATCTTTTAAGATTGATAGGAATCAGAAATGTATACTTACAAATGTGTCATAACACAAGTTTGGAAGGGATCTAAATGAAAAGCTGAATAACTACACTGTCCTCTGCTGGTTGAGAGCAGCAGAGTAAGCTGAGGCTGGCTGACCTTGTTGAGCAGTCTCTGGCTGGAGGCTAGTGGATGGGTCCGTCTGTATCGGCCCTTGGTGTACTTGGCCCTGATGAAGTCCCCTCTCTGATCCACAGAGGAGTCCGGCAGGATCTGCTCTGCACCCGGCACGTTGTGACCCCACACATCATTGGCTGCTTTGTTTCCATAATGGACAAAGAGCTATGGGAGAAAGAGAGAATATCATGTGTATATTTATATAGTAGTGCCTATTTTAACATTGTGTTATTTTAGACTTTGAGTATTTGGCAAGACTTACACTGTAGCACTATTACAGGAAAAGTAATCTCACCAGAATCAGAGGTTCGGTCCACACTTTACTGTCCAACTTCAGGCTTCTCACTTTGGACACATTGATGCCCAAAGACCGATGCTGACCTTAGAGAAACAATTGGGAAACTATTAACAAAGGTTGTGTAGAGCAAATGTAACAATCCATACACATCCTGTGCCTACTTATTTAGCCTCATCGCAGTCCCAGCTCACCTGCGCAGGCCTCACAGATGACCACCAGCAGGTTGACGGAGGCCCACTCAGGGTTGGCACAGCCACAGTCGGCACACACTTTGTTCCATGGGCTGGCCCAGAGTCGCTCGGCCACCTCGCTGCATGACAGGGCACTGCGGATCACCTGGGTCAGGCTCCCCAGCCACACGCCCAGCTCCTTCAATGAGTCTGTGGAGAAACTAGAGATACAAAGACTGTGTTTCTCAGTAATTACTAAAGCAAGATGCTCACATGCACGGGACAGATAATGGGATAATCTGGTAGAAGAGCAATTGTCTTGAGTCAGATCAGACTGAGAGACAGTGAGAGAGAGAGAAGGAGCTGGACACTCACTTAAAGGTTTTATACGGTGTGATGAGGCTGAAGGTATGACGGCCCGTCTGCTTCACTGAAGCCACGTTCATGGACACATAGGTCATCCCAACCCCCAACTGGAAGTCCTGCATGGCACAATGACAATAACTGAGCGACACAAAATACACTGAAGATGTCCTCCCAAATCATCAAACAATCATAAACTGATGGAGCATAGCTGAGTCCTGTTCCTTTTCCCAACCTCTTTATTGTTGTAGATCCATAGGTTGTGTCCACAGATGGCAGCGTACACTCTGCTACGAGGGTCCTTCATGGTCAGGGCTCCATGCTGCTCCGGAGGGACTGGGGGGTTCTGTCCACGAGAAGCCAGAAGGGAAGTCACCCAGCCCTCCTGCACCGCTGGGACCAGGAAGAGAGGTGGGGAGATAGTCAAGGCTCAGCACAAAAACACTTGGAACCAAAAGGAGAGTCTATACCCATCAGCAGCTCACCTTTGTTGTGTGCCATGAACTCAAAGTGCTTCTTGCTGAAGTAAATGGAGAAGCGTCCTTTGTCCTGCTTACGGACGTCGGTGATGCTTGACACGTGGAACACTATTTCGGTGAACTTGTCCTGCAGCACAGAAGATGTGGGAATAGTATGAGGCATAGCCTGGGAGATGCAATAATGTTATAACAAGGGTCCAATGGACCATGGTGTGGTGCTTGTGGTTCACTCACTGTGGTTTTCTTCCATAGTGATACCAACTGTCCATCCAGGGTGGCCCACAGAACATTGTGCCTTCACGGACAAAAAGTATCTCCATTTTCAAATACATACAGTGAGGGAAAAAAGTATTTGATCCCCTGCTGATTTTGTACGTTTGCCAACTGACAAAGAAATGATCAGTCTATAATTTTAATGGTAGGTTTATTTGAACAGTGAGAGACAGAATAACAACAAAAAAATCCAGAAAAACTCATGTCAAAAATGTTATAAATTGATTTGCATTTTAATGAGGGAAATAAGTATTTGACCCCTCTGCAAAACATTACTTAGTACTTGGTGGCAAAACCCTTGTTGGCAATCACAGAGGTCAGACGTTTCTTGTAGTTGGCCACCAGGTTTGCACACATCTCAGGAGGGATTTTGTCCCACTCCTCTTTGCAGATCTTCTCCAAGTCATTAAGGTTTTGAGGCTGACATTTGGCAACTCGAACCTTCCGCTCCCTCCACAGATTTTCTATGGGATTAAGGTCTGGAAACTGGCTAGGCCACTCCAGGACCTTAATGTGTTTCTTCTTGAGCCACTCCTTTGTTGCCTTGGCCGTGTGTTTTGGGTTAATGTCATGCTGGAATACCCATCCACAACCCCTTTTCAATGCCCTGGCTGAGGGAAGGAGGTTCTCACCCAAGATTTGACGGTACATGGCCCCGTCCATCGTCCGTTTGATGCAGTGAAGTTGTCCTGTCCCCTTAGCAGAAAAACACCCCAAAAGCATAATGTTTCCACCTCCATGTTTGACGGTGGGGATGGTGTTCTTGGGGTCATAGGCAGCATTCTTCCTCCTCCAAACACGGCGAATTGAGTTGATGGCAAAGAGCTCCATTTTTGTCTCATCTGACCACAACACTTTCACCCAGTTCTCCTCTGAATCATTCAGATGTTCATTGGCAAACTTCAGACGGGCATGTATATGTGCTTTCTGGAGCAGGGGGACCTTGCGGGCGCTGCAGGATTTCAGTCCTTCACGGCGTAGTGTGTTACCAATTATTTTCTTGGTGACTATGGTCCCAGCTGCCTTGAGATCATTGACAAGATCCTCCCGTGTAGTTCTGGGCTGATTCCTCACCGTTCTCATGATCATTGCAACTCCACGAGGTGAGATCTTGCATGGAGCCCCAGGCCGAGGGAGATTGACAGTTAATTTGTGTTTCTTCCATTTGTGAATAATCGCACCAACTGTGGTCACCTTCTCACCAAGCTGCTTGGCGATGGTCTTGTAGCCCATTCCAGCCTTGTGTAGGTCTGCAATCTTTTCCCTGACATCCTTGGAGAGCTCTTTGGTCTTGGCCATGGTGGAGAGTTTGGAATCTGATTGATTGATTGCTTCTGTGGACAGGTGTCTTTTATACAGGTAACAAACTGAGATTAGGAGCACTCCCTTTAAGAGTGTGCTCCTAATCTCAGCTTGTTAACTGTATAAAAGACACCTGGGAGCCAGAAATCTTTCTGATTGAGAGGGGGTCAAATACTTATTTCCCTCATTAAAATGCAAATCAATTTATAACATTTTTGACATGCGTTTTTCTGAATTTTTTTGTTGTTATTCTGTCTCTCACTGTTCAAATAAACCTACCATTAAAATTATAGACTGATCATTTCTTTGTCAGTGGGCAAACGTACAAAGTCAGCAGGGGATCAAACACTTATTTCCCTCACTGTAGAAATTAGGCAATGATATTTGGAAAGTAATCTGAAACGTCATAACAGAGAATGTGATTTCAGTAAGGTGTTGCTGAACAGTAATAGTACATATAACCCACAGTGTCCCAAATTACCTGCGTCCCTTCCATACATCCAGCCAGCTGGAACGGGAAACCACACTCTCCCTACGAGAGGACTCTGCTATCTGGGCACCACCCCCGCTCGCTGCTGCCTGCTTTCTCCTGCTGACACGGATGGTGGCAGCACTGTGAACAAATAGAAAAGTTATCTCAAAGAAACATACACATGACAAATATTTCATTAACTGTCAGCTATCTTGACCAAATATGCTACACATTTACACTACCAGTCAGTTTGGACACACCTACTCATTCAAGGGTTTTTCTTTTACTATTTTCTACATTGTAGAATAATCGTGAAGACATCAAAGCTATGAAATAACACATTTGAAATCATGTAGTAACCAAAAAAGTGTTAAACAAATCAAAATATATTTTATATTTGAGATTCTTCAAATAGCCACCCTTTGCCTTGATGACAGCTTTGCACACTCTTGGAATTCTCTCAACCAGCTTCATGAGGTAGTCACCTGGAATGCATTTCAATTAACAGGTGTGCCTTCTTAAAAGTTAATTTGTGGAATTAATTTCAGTTTTCATGCTTTTGAGCCAATCAGTTGTGTTGTGACAAGGTGTGTGTGTGTGTGTGTGGGGGGGGGGGGGGGGGGGGGGGGGGGGTGACACTGTCTGTGATTTATTTAGAATTTAAGGCACACTTAACCAGCATGGCTACCACAGCATTCTGCAGTGATGCGCCATCCCATCCGGTTTGGGCTTAGTGGGACTATCATATGTTTTTTAACAGGACAATGACTAAACACACCTCCAGGCTGTGTAAGGGCTATTTTACCAAGAAGGAGAGTGATGGAGTGCTGCATCAGATGACCTGGCCTCCACAATCTCCCGACCTCAACCCAATTGAGATGGTTTGGGATGAGTCGGACGGCAGAGTGAAGGAAAAGCAGCCAACAAGTGCTCAGCAAATGTGGGAATTCCTTCAAGAATATTGGAAAAGCATTCCAGGTGAAGCTGGTTGAGAGAATGCCAAGAGTGTGCAAAGCTGTCATCAAGGCAAAGGGTGGCTACTTTGAAGAATCTCAAATATAAAATATATTTAGATTTGTTTAACACTTTTTGGGTTACTACATGATTCCATATGTGTTATTTCATAGTGTTGATGTCTTCACTATTATTCTACAATGTAGAAAATAGTACAATAAAGAAAAACCCTTGAATGAGTAGGTGTGTCCAAACATTTGACTGGTGCTGTAGGTATAGATATGTGTAATACAGTGATCTGAATAGATCAACAAAACGCTTGTAGAGTTCACAGATCAGTAGACAAACAAGTATATCACGCTCAACGTGATGTCTGATCCGGCTACACCCAAATGATAATTTCAATGGGTTTTCAATTATATCATACCATTACAACCATGAAATATATCAATATTGGTAAGGTACTATCTTAACATTTCTGTTGATTAGGTAGTCATTTCTATCATTTGTATTCTAATTGAACTCCCAATGAAAGCTGTCTGTTAACTGTCTGTCTGCTGTGATGGGGTGCTGTGACGTACCGTGGGGTCTTTTGTTTGATTGGTCTGGTCTGCATAGACGCCTGGTCCACAGGAGGCTGGGGGACACCACCAATCTGCCTTGACACCACAATTGAACTGAGGCATAGAAGAATGAGACAAAGCCATTTCAACATTTCTACCACCATTTCATGTTTTCTGTGACCTGTAGCTTATTACATATAATTAAGTAAATTGATGTACATATTCTGCCCTACCTTTGGCCATGGCCTGTACTGTTTTGTGACCTATGCCTTTAAACCTGATAGCTAAAACTCACTTGTTCATGTGAGATGGGTTCTTTATTTCTCCAGTAAAGGCATCGTCATCATTGGACGATTCAGATCCAAGGTATTTAGCCCAGTCAGCTACTACAATGATATCGGGGTAATAATCTGCAGCAGGACTGTACGGAGGGGAGGATGGCCAGGCAGATCTGTCGTGGAGTCCATCTGGATCATTACTGCCCAGTAATGGGCTAGACGGAGTCACTCCAGAATCAGATCTTAAGAAAGGGAAGTTATGCTGGCTTTGATTCTGATCAGCTGGGCTGGGGATGGCAGGGCTGAATGAAGGTTTATTTAGAATAATGGCATGGTTGTCTTCACTTTCTACCAGCAAATCATTTGTGGGTGGAGGATCTGTGAACCCAAGATAAAATGACGTACAGTAAAAGATGCTGCGTTGTCTGGTGAGAAATCAAAGCAGTGAATCTTACAGAAGTCTGTCACTGAATCACAAGTATTTGTGTCTAGAACAAAACCAGTTTTTCTCACGTTGCTATCATGACAGTGCACTGGAGCTATCTTTAGCTTTAGGAATGTTTTACTGGAGATTACATATTAAACTCAGCATCACATTTAAAAGGATGCAGACTTCTTGAGTGACAAGTGGGGGAGGAGTCTCTATTATGACTTGCAGGGAACAAATCTTGTTTAACCTGATAGCAGATTGCTCATTGGTGAGTTGTTGAAAAGTGAGCTGTTTAGCTGACGCATTGTGTCTGAGTCAATTGAATATGGCCTGTTATTACACAACTACAGCCATAGTTCTGACAAAACTCATCTTGTTTCAAAGGAAATGTATATTTTGTCCAAATCTTTATCATTGATCAAATAATGTCATTGTTATCATGATAAGCACCAGGGCCTACCTTTGCTATGATTTCCTGTACTTGTTGCTGGATCAGGTGTATCACATAGCAAATCCCTTGAAAACAAATGTAAAAACAAATAATTAGAAAACAATCCCCAAGAACATATCAGGTGTTTGGTAAAACAAGTAAAAGTAATGAGGATAGCTCGCCTCTCAGAAGAGAGCTGGCTCTGTAAGCTCCCGCCAGCCCGCTTGTAACGAGCACGTGGTTTAGGTACTGGCACAGGCATGTCTGGACCAAGGGGTGCAGACATCTAAAGCACAGTAGGAGACACCTAGGGCACAAACACGTCTGAAATGACACATTTCATCTTAATAAGGCCTTTTAATATGAAAAATAGTTCATTGAACTAACAAAAGACCAAACACATTCAAACATAATAATTAAAATACACTAGAATAGTAGTCTTAAATGTTATAGCAACTATTATCACTTTGTTATTACTATTACTTTGAATAATCTCTTGATTTGACACATAGGCCTACCGAGACAGATTCTGGAGATAATCTCATTGTCTTTTTTTTCCTCACAGTTTATAGGTAGGCTACAATGGTTGCTCTTTCTTTAAAATGTTTATTAGCCTACAAAAAGTTTGTGTTTCCGTATGAAAATACATGAAAATATTGTCATGGTTATTTCATGGGGGAAAAACAATATGTGTGCTTGGGCATTAAAGAGATGCTCCAGAACTTTTGTATAATTTCAGCTATTCGTTTTGAGAGTGGTGCTCACGAGCCAAAACGGGTCCCCATGTTTTGTGTGCTACGTCATCCAATTATCTATTACGCCATCCATTTCGTATGATATGTTTTTTTACAGTTTTTTTTTTATTGCACTTCGTATGATATATGTTATGAATCCAATTCATACAATATGTTACAAATGTGTTGTTCTTAAGATCCCGGACTGCATCTTTAATAGTTTATGTTGGAAATGTTGCTCTCAGCTACAGTCGTCGGCTTATCCCCCATTATAAGCTCCGAAACACAACTGAGTTCATGCTGTTCTGTGTTCAAAGGTAACAAACACCTGCACTTGTTCCGAGCATGTGAATTAACTATGAATGAACATGAAGGCTAGTTTTCTGCATAACAAAGTTTTTTTTGGAGAAAATTTTAAAAACATATTGAAATCCAAAATTAAATATTAGTCTACTCAAAAAATTCAGCCAATTCAGTGACTGTGACCTAAAAAGGTTATTCAAATTTTACCTTGTCGCTACTCTTCTGTTCTGCTCAAATGCGATGTTCAGACAAGCTCGATAACAGGCCAGGGAACTAGTAGACTCCTTACCCTCCTGACACTGAAGGGGTTTGTGGTTGTTCTGCTTTCTGCTTTCTGACAACATTGACGGTGTGTAGGCTATGCACGACAAATCTGTGCAGCATGGTCTCACCTGTATTACCTGTTCGGCGGCTGAGCTAGCAAGGATAGCAGATGGGCAGGGAAGGTAAACGAGTTTTATCACATGAATAACATCAAAGTTCAATCATTGTAACTGTTATGATTATGAAACCCACAAGACATAACAAAAGACTTCCGACTTACTCATCTGAACCTACAGGAACTATTCTGTCCGGAAAGAAGTTGGGTTTTACAAGTTTAAAACTGTTATTTTCAGTGGGACAGTCTAGGCTAATGTAAGCACAGTGTACTACTAGCAGAGGCAAGTGCATAGTTGAGCTAGCTGAGAGAGTTAGCATCGTCATGGATGGCAGAAAAGTATTTGAGTGGGAAAACAATGTGATTAAAAAGGAGGAATAAACAGTGAATAAAGGAAAGGACATTTATTAAGCTGTGAAGACGAACCTTGGAATTAAAAACTGTTAAATGAGCGAATTTGAGGATGAAACATTAATGAGTGAAGTGAATGAAGATCATGTGACTGAGGAAAATATTGCCATGGTTGAGGACAATATTGAAGTGAGTGACAATCAGGAGCCTATTGAGAAACTAAAAATGCCTGGAATTGTTGGAAACATTGGTAAGTTTGATGAAAGTATTGAGCATACAGAACGGTTTGAATATTTTGTTCCTGCAAATAGCATTGATGAGGACAAAATTGTGCCTACATTTGTTTGTGAAATGGTGCCAAAGACATTTAATTTACTCATAAACAACAGGTGTAGACTAACAGTGAAATGCTTGCTTACGGTCCCTTCCCAACAATGCAGAGAGAAAGAAAATAGAGAAATAATAGAAAAGTAATAAGACATAATAATACAAGTAATAATAAATACACAATGAGTAACGATAACTTCGCTATATAGTATAACAGGGTACCAGTACCGAGTCGATATGCAAGGGTACGAGGTAATTGAGGTAGACATGTACATACAGTGCATTCAGAAAGTATTCAGACCCCTTGACCTTTTCCACATTTTGCCAAGTTACAGCCTTATTCTAACATAGATTAAATTGTTTTTTTCCCTCATCAATGTACAGTTGAAGTCGGAAGATTACATACACTTAGGTTGGAGTCATTAAAACTTGTTTTTCAACCACTCCACAAATGTCTTGTTAACAAACTATAGTTTTGGCAAGTCTGTTAGGACATCTACGTTGTGCATGACACAAGTAATTTTTCCAACAATTGTTTACAGACAGATTATTTCACTTATAATTCACTGTATCAAAATTCCAGTGGGTCAGAAGTTTACATACACTAAGTTGACTGTGCCTTTAAACAGCTTAGAAAATTCCAGAAAATGATGTCATGGCTTTAGAAGCTTCTGATAATTGACATCATTTTAGTCAATTGGAGGTGTACCTGTGGATGTATTTCAAGGCCTCAGTGCCTCTTTGCTTGAAATCATGGGAAAATCAAAAGAAATCAGCCAACACCTCAGAAAATTGTAGACCTCCACAAGACTGGTTCATCCTTGGGAGCAATTTCCAAACGCCTGAAGGTACCACGTTCATCAGTACAAACAATAGTACGCAATTATAAATACCATGGGACCACGCAGCCATCATACCGCTCAGGAAGGAGATGCCTTCTGTCTCCTAGAGATGAACGTACTTTGGTGCGAAAAGTGCAAATCAATCCCAGAACAACAGCAAAGGACCTTGAGAAGATGCTGGAGGAAACAGGTACAAAAGTATCTATATCCACAGTAAAACGAGTCCTATATCGACATAACCTGAAAGGCCGCTCAGCAAGGAAGAAGCCACTCCTCCAAAACCGCCATAAAAAAGCCAGCCTACGGTTTGCAACTGCACATGGGGACAAAGATCGTACTTTTTGGAGAAATGTCCTCTGGTCTGATGAAACAAAAATAGAACTGTTTGGCCATAATGACCATCGTTATATTTGGAGGAAAAAGGGGTAGGCTTGCAAGCCGAAGAACACCATCCCAACCGTGAAGCACGGGGGTGGCAGCATCATGCTGTGGGGGGGCTTTGCTGCAGGAGGGACTGGTGCTCTTCACAAAATATATGGCATCATGAGGAAGGGAAAATATGTGGATATATTGAAGCAACGTCTCAAGACATCAGTCAGGAAGTTAAAGCTTGGTCGCAAATGGGTCTTCCAAATGGACAATGACCCCAAGCATACTTCCAAAGTTGTGGCAAAATGGCTTAAGGACAACAAAGTCAAGGTGGCCATCACAAAGCCCTGTCCTCAATCCTATAGAACATTTGTAGGCAGAACTGAAAAAGCATGTGCGAGCAAGGAGGCCTACAAACCTGACTCAGTTACACCAGCTCTGTCAGGAGGAATGGGCCAAAATTCACCCAACTTATTGTGGGAAGCTTGTGGAAGGCTACCCAAAACATTTGACCCAAGTGAAACAATTTAAAGGCAATGCTACCAAATACTACTTGAGTGTATGTAAACTTCTGACCCACTGGGAATGTGATGAAAGAAATAAAAGCTGAAATAAATCATTCTCGCTACTATTATTCTGACATTTCACAGTCTTAAAATAAAGTGGTGATCCTAACTGACCTAAGACAGGGAATTTTTACTAGGATTAAATGTCAGGAATTGTGAAAAACAGAGTTTAAATGTACTTGGCTAAGGTGTATGCAAACTTCCGACTTCAACTGTACACACAATACCCCATAATGACAAAGCAAAAACATGATTCAGACCCTTTACTCAGTACTTTGTTGAAGCACCTTTGGCAGCGATTACAGCCTCAAGTCTTTTGGGTATGACGCTACAAGCTTGGTACACCTGTATTTGCCGAGGATTTCCCCACTCTTCTCTGTAGATCCTCTCAAGCTCTGTCAGGTTGGATGGGGAGCATTGCTGCACAGCTATTTTCAGGTCTCTCCAGAGATGTTAGATCGGGTTCAAGTCCGGGCTCTGGCTGGGCCACTCAAGGACATTCAGAGACTTGTCCCGAAGCCACTCCTGCATTGTCTTGGCTGTGTGCTTAGGGTCATTGTCCTCTTGGAAGGTGAACCTTCGCCCCAGTCTGAGGTTCTGAGAGCTCTGGACCAGGTTTTCATCAAGGATCACTCTGTACTTTGCTCTGTTCATCTTTCACTCGATCCTGACTAGTCTCCCAGTCCCTGCCGCTGAAAAACATGCTGCCACCACCATGCTTCACCATAGGGATGGTGCCAGGTTTCCTCCAGACGTGACGCTTGGCATTCAGGCCAAATAGGTCAATCTTGTTTTCATCAGACCAGAGAATCGTGTTTCTCATGGTCTGAGAGTCCTTTAGGTGCCTTTTGGCAAACTCCAGGCGGGCTGTCATGTGCCTTTTTACTGAGGACTGGCTTCTGTCTGACCATTCTACCATAAAGGCCTAATTTGGTGGAGTGCTGCAGAGATGGTTGTCCTTCTGGAAGGTTCTCCCATCTCCACAGAGGAACTCTGGAGCTCTGTCAGAGTGACCATCGGGTTCTTGGTCCCCTCCCTGACCAAGGCCCTTCTCCCCCGATTGCTCAGTTTGGCCGGGCGGCCAGCTCTAGGAAGAGTCTTGGTGGTTCCAAACTTCTTCCATTTAAGAATGATGGAGGCCACTGTGTTCTTGGGGACCTTCAATGCTGCAGAAATGTTTTACTACCCTTCCCCAGATCTATGCCTTGACACAATCCTGTCTCGGAGCTCTACGGACAATTCCTTCGACCTCATGGCTTGGTTTTTGCTCTGACATGCACTGTCAACTGTGGGACCTTATATAGACAGGTGTGTATCATTCCAAATCATGTCCAATCAATTTAATTTACCACAGGTGGACTCCAATCAAGTTGTAGAAACATCTCAAGGATGATCAATGGAAACAGGATGCACCT